GGATTAATGTTTGAAGGGAGTGTAATGCATATCAACATTGGCAAGCAATCAGCTGAAAACTGACTATTATAGGAACAACAAAGGTAACAAGAAATATTCACAGCATACATATGCACCACTGGATGCATTTGTAAAAAACATAAAAATAAAGATAACAAATCAATGAACTACGTTGCAGCAAAATAGTAGTTTTCTTTTGGTTAGCATTGCCTATTATGGCTGGCTGTTGTTGGTTTGTGTGTTTTTTCCTTTGCTGTTAAGTGCATAGCGACCGTTATGTGGTAGTGATCTTTATTTGTTGCAAGCCTCATGTCGACATCTTGCAATGTGTAAATAAATACAGCTAAATGGCGAAAAATTGATTGCTAACTGATAGGAGGCGCAGTGGCAACAACAATCAATTTAAATGAATAACAAAAGAGCGAATATGTACATTAGGGTGCATCACCACAATAAGTTAAAATTATTCCAGCGGAACTATAAAATTTAAAAATATGAAAATTGCATTATTTTGATTTCACTGATAATAGTTTTAAGCATTTTTATGCAGCACTTGTAATCTTAAACTCTTGTACGTCTGAGGTGATTTTTTTAGAAAAAAATATTTTCAAAAAAGAATTTTATATATTAAAAAAACGACTTTTCAGATTTTTTAAAATATTCCTAAAATATTTTTGGCCGAAAATCTTAAAATATAATACATTTTATACATATTTTCTATGGAAATACAGTACCGATTTTTTTTTTGCATTGAGAGTGGTACACACTAATATACACATGTAGGTATCTACCAAGGAGAAACGCCCAAGCTATTACTAAAGGGATCTTGTGCTTTGTGCTCTCCTTGATATAGGAGGAGCTTTCAACAACACCTCACATGAGGTGGCACTGAAACCAAAAAAAAAAAAAAAGATGTGCAGGCATCTATTTGTATAGAATGTATAAAAGCGCTGTTATGAACAAGAATAGCAAAGAACACAGTAGGTAACAGCTCTATAGAGCTAAAAATTACGAAGCGATGCCCACATGTGGGTATTATCCCCTCATCTTTGGAATGTAGTTGCAGATGAACTCCTGCAAACGTTGTCAGACAAAGGAATCCGATACCAAGGCTACGCGGATGAGGCAGTTATAATAGCAAGAAGGACGGTCGAGAACACCCTATGTGGCATAATCCAAAGGGAACTAAAGATAATAGTGCAGGAGTGGTGTGTGAGTACGGGCCTTCACATAAACCCAAAAAAAAAACAGCCAACATTCTATGACCAGAAGAAGAAGAACCCTATCAGGAATGAGAACAATAGTCCTCTTGCATAAAAAGTGAGCTTAAGATAAGATTCAATTTTCTAATGGCGTGGACTCAATGTCAAGAATTCATTCTGAAAATCGACTTGGAGCATAAGCTCACTTTTTATGCATGAGACTCTATAAATTCCGAAGGCATAGAAGTCCTCACTGTCTCGGAGGTGAGCTATTTGGGCATCACGCTCGACACAAAACTCTAATGAAAGCTGCAAGAGCACTTATAGAACTTATTTTCGATTTGAACTACAGAGTAAGGGCTTTGGCTTTCTAGGAAGACGGCAGCAACAACACCAATAGACCATTCTTTGCACCCGGACCAAACACCATCAGAGCACAGCTTGGGACAGAAGGAAGAACAAGTAGAGAACTGTACTGGAACCTAAAATGATACTCTACAATGAGAGCAAATATCTTTTCCCATGAGAGTGAATTATTATCCTCATGAGAATTATATTCATTGTAAAGGTAAAACTTTAACTCTCCGTCGAAACGATTTATATGGTCTGGGGACTGGCGGAGAAAACAACAGAGCACGTACATAAGAAATAAGTCATAGCCACCTATTTATAAGTTTTCTTAGACTTATACACCTTGCGGTCCTTGTGTTATTATTTTTTTTTGATACTAGGCAATCTTGTTTAAAATATTTGCATACAAGTTCCAGAACTCAACCAAGAACACTTCCAGAGATATGCAGTTTGAAAACTTCAGTTTGTACGGGAGGTGCCGCGCCCCCTTTTCCAAAAGCTCCAATTTATCTCCAAGAGTATGCGATTGATTTTATATATCTCCATACCAAGTTCCAGAACTCTAACATGCAGTATTGAAAATTCGGTTTGAATGGGAGGTGCCACGTGCCTTTATATATCGAAAATTGTTTAGCCTATAACCACCCTCGGGACGGACAATCGGTTCAGCCGTTCTCGAGCTTTGCGAACACAAAGAAATGGCTATCAAAATATATATTATAGTATAGATTTCTCTTACTGCCCCCATTAAGTATTTTTTATATAAATTTATTTAATTTTTATTTTATTCTCCTAGCTCAAAGTTCTTAGACCCTCTAAGACCGCACATTGCTATTAAGCTAAGAGCCACTGGAACATTCCTATAGATAAGTATTTCTGGTAAATTAACTTTATCTCAGTTGGACTCTTCCTTGACATCGAAATGTCTATTAATAGCTTTAAAGATTTACTGTACTTAAAATGCTTTCAGGATATGTTAAGAATGGGCAAAAAAAATAGATCAATGTCTTCCTGCTTGCCACGTCTGATTACAATAAAATAAATTCCTACTAATTCCACTCAAAAATGAACTGCTTATCAACTAGTTTGCACAGAGTGAGTATTTCCAATTACAGTCGGACAATAACTACACAGTACATATGTATGTATGTATGTAAAGCACATATACAAACATACATACATACTACACATATTCGTTTGTATAAATATTTTGCTATGCAGTTGGCACACATTGTACTTGTTGTTGCAATGTAAACTGGACGTGCCACATTTGAATAATACCGGCTCGTTAAGCATGTGCTCCTAGTGTGGCAAGCTAAGGTATACATAAGTAAATATACTTGCCACATATGTATGTATGTATGCACGCCTATGAGTTTTTTATGACTTTGTGCCGCTGTAGCAGCTGCTTGGCGTTCATAGTAGTAAGTTTGTGTGTGTGTGTGTGTGTGTTTGTATGTGACCATGTGCCCAGTTACAGATTTTATCTTAATGGTGATATTTTGCCAAATGCCAGTAAAGTCAAATGCACAAACGTTGCGCGATGATGCTGATGTTCGCTGATGGCGCTGTGCAACTAAATGAACTAACAGTGGGCAATGAAGAAAATTAATGTTAAAAAATTTGTTGTGCAAAATTTATTAAAATAGTGCATTGTTATGACCAATAACAAACAAAACGAATTCACCATCGCGCCCTTGAAACCTGAGGCTCATATGCCTCTGGTCCTCCCGAATTTGTACATATACATAATTTCATTTTATAAGAAAATGTGATCGCGTCCAGACCCAGGATGTGATGATTCCACTCAATGTAGTTGTAGATAGCTCAGTAATCAAAATGCTTAGGAAGATTTCAAACCAAGGCATCAGTTTGCTTTACGAAAAGTTGGCCAGTACGTATGAGTAACCTAAGTCAATGGCCGTCTTTCTTTTAAACAATTCATATTCATACCCATATTCCTAACCATTTCGATAATGACATTAATACTTATATGTACATATATTCATACTCATATTGATATTCGTACTCAAATTCATAATTATACCCATATTCATTTTCATACTCATATTGATATTAATTTATATACGTCAAATTCACATGTAAACCGATTTTCATAGTCATACTCATATTCGTACTACTATTCAAATGCTTTTTTAAAACTAATGTCATATTCATACTCATACTCATACGCATATTTATACTCATACCAATGTTCATACTCGTATTCGTACTCATACTCGTACCTATAATCATAAGTATTTAAATCCATTTGCTTTATGATTAATTTAGTCATATTCTTCGATTTTTTTTTAATTTTAATAAAGTTTTTATTTATAAATTTACCAGAAATAAATATCTTAAACGACAACGCTCACTTCTCGAAATATTTTTTTTTTTTCTTTAGTTTGTGTATAACTATTTCGTCACACTGTGCCCCATGCCAGTCGACCAACCAACTGATTGTATGGCTGATATGGACTTCCTTTTGTTGTTAATTTTCTTATTGAGCGCTTGCTGTCAATAATGTTGTTGCCACTACACCATTACCACATGTGGAAAGGGAGACTAAGGCTGCATGAATTTTGATCATTCATGCAGATTACTGGCAGACACACGCACACACACAAACACACATTCAAATTCGGCATTCGCATGCGCTGTTGGCTCAATCGATATGGATACAGGAGATCGATGTCAATAGAGCTACACTCACGTTTTAGCTATTACGAACACATTGCCTCGCATACATACATAAAATACATACCTACAAATATGCATTTTGTATGTAAAAAAGAGCAAATACTCATACGAAACGAGCTTAAAATAAATTCGAATATATGTCAATATGCCATAGCAACGCGGCGGCAAACGCTCTTAGAAAAAAAAGGTAGAACAAAAATGGAAACGTAAAAATAAATGTGCATTTTGTAAATTTAAATCTGCCTCTGTGTAGTATACATATGTATGTATGTATAAGTAAACAACGCAAACGTCCTGCAGCCTCGCGCTCACTCCATGCATTAGCATATTAAGCAAAAACGCCTGCAGTGTGGTGAAAATTCAATTAATTGCTTTCTGCCATTTAGCCTGCAAGGCGCTGTGAATACCTCCATTTTTTATTATTATTATTTTTTTTTTTTTTTTTGTAGACTAGGCATAGCTGAGATGGATCAAAAGTGAAACTGACCACACGAATGTTATCCTCAAACACAGTTAGTTACATACAATTTTACACTTTTATACCCGTTTATATGGCGGCACGCGAGAGTAGGGCAATGGGTTGTTGCACCTAAATAGTTCGATACGATTTTTCGTGCCAGTACGCTCTTTTGATTTGGGTGTGGGTTGCGGTAATTCGATTAACCATTTACAGTTTTATATTTAAATATTTATATTATAAGCAACCTTTTAATAAACTGGAACTATTTTCTTCTATCTTTGCAGATTTGAGCTCGCCACGGCACTAATGCGTGCAATACCGGCTGAGATAAGGTAAGTTGTGAAAGCAATCAAAATACTCTTAAAGATTTACTTGAAGATTTTGACGAATTGACTCCGGTTAACTTGAGTGCTGGGAAAATTATATACATACTTCATACGGAGCCTTACTTCACCTTTATGCGTTAGACTATATGTCATTTCCACATCACTATTTCTGTTCAGTTATACAAAGTTATAAGTGACAGCAGCACAGTCTACTACTCCTTAGTTCGAGCGACTTCACTGCAGTCAGTGGAAGTCAAAACCTTCTATAACCTAAGAAATGCCGTTCCAAATGCTTCTCTATGTCAGTACGTCGACTTCAGTTTGTTCTGAATCGTCAGAGTGAAAGCTCACTAAGTCGGCGATAATGGTGCAGTCAGTCTAGACTCTAGAGGACCGAAGACATTTTGGATCCCATGCCACTTGCAGTTTAGCCCGAAAAAATAATATCCGCTCCAGTATCTAACAGTGTCGGTTTTGAAGCACTTGATATGGAGGCATAGGAAGATGCCTTCAAAGAGCAAAATTTCTGCGCCTTCCTGAGTATAATCAATGGTTCCATCAGAAAAGCGGTAGGTAGCGTAATTGTTGATATCTCGGTCCAAAAGCGATTATTTCTAATCATAATCAGACTCATGTAAATTTGGTCTCTCGAAATAAGAACTAATTTTTCTTATCCCAAGTAACGGAAGAAGGGAGCTTCCCTTCTTTATTAAGCTTTAAGGCGGATCAGTCTTTGTCGCTCTAAAGCCGCCCAATAATAGAGACTATGTTCTGAAGTCTTATCGTCTTCAAGGATGAGCCGGCTCTGTGATTATACCTAGAAAAAATACCCTTCTGCCAATGCAATTCTCTTTAGTCATGGAATCAGAAATTCCTCATATTTCCAACCCTGGTATTTTCAGCTTCTTTGTATAGTTGGGTTTGAAGTTACTCCTTGCACCATTGTGCCGACTTCAGTTAGCCCTGAGGAAGTAGAGCATCGGAGCACCGAGAAGAGAACCCCAGTCCCCGCAATCCGGCTACAAATTCCGGAGCTCATTATGAGCAGGCGGATCTAGTAAGCACAAGGGCTTCTAACGAAACTTCTGAGTCCCACTCGCACGTTCAATGGCTTCGCTGGAAGGCAGGCCGGACTGACCTCTGCCTGGCAGGCTTCGTCCATAAGTAATGGTTCTGGAGCATCATCAGCCTTATTTTCTGAATTTTTTTCTTTTATGTAGCCACAAGCAAATGGGAGAAGCACAGCGAGGTAATCCCGATCCCCCGGCAAGTCTAATTGAAACTAGAGGGCGACCGGTATACCGACAGAGCTCGCATACTAGAAGGCACTCACTCCCCATTTCTAGGACGCTGTCAAAGTGGGTCAAAAGGCACAATACCTCGCATCGACAACTTAAGTCAGCAATTTCTTAGGGGAATAAATCCGTTCATTTTCTCGTATTCCTAAAGTCCGAAGGCTTTATCTCAGTTCATGTCTTCTTTTCGGTTCAGCTTTTCATATTTACAGACTAGTATGTATGTATGTATGTATAAAAAAGACTGTGTGTATCACTAATAAAAAAACATTAAACAGTAGTTTCACTTTTCCTTTGGCACTGCTTATCTCACAATCTGGTTACAACTACCGGTAAGCACCTCATCAGCCAGCTGCTCCGTTGCCAAGCCAATCGCCAATGTCCTCGACCTCAGCTTCATCTACAGCGTGGTAATTTGTCGACATCGCATTGTGACAAGCAAATAGAAAAGCGAAAAACACGTTAACACTAATTAAAAATGTCGAAATGTGAAAGAAAGGAAAGAAATGCATTAAAAATAAATGAAACAAGCGAAAATTGCCAAATGCAAAAAGCAACTAATAATTAATTAACTTGTGAGAAAAAACAAATGAAAATTAGGAAAATCGGCAGCAAGAAGTAACGTTGATGAATGCAGACAAAGTCGAAGGAAAACACATGGAAAAAGTTGCATTAACGACGACACAACAAAGACTCAAAGCCAGACAGAGGTTGGACGGAGAATGAGGAATTGGCAGCAAAGGAGACTAGTTGGGTGTTAGTAGCTATGCGCAGAAAAGTGTTGTTGAAAAAAAAAGACAGAAAAACAATGCATAGGAGCTGATAACAACGGGAAATTCAGTCTCTTTTTGATCTATCGGCGACTGCTTATTTATTAAAACTAATTTCAAAGAGAACGAAGGAACTTGCCGCGGCGATTTACGTACCGTAATTTTTACAAGCTATTAAAATGGATACAGAACGTTCAGAAATCATAAGGTAGACAGCCATGGCAATGGAGACCTCTTGGTAAATAGCAACCAACTGCCCAACTCCGCTTTGGCACAGAGATGCGCCTGAAGATAGTTAAGCTTAACTCCGAGCTTACTTGGTTATTTTGTTATCATCTCGAACCACCAACCACGTAGCCTTTTTCTAAATATGGCTCCTCTATAACATTGCAAGACACGTTGCCCGGATATGCTCTTCAAATAGGCGTACTGGTAGAGGCTCAATTTCTTCCCAAGCCATTCAAGCGTTCGCTAGTTAGTAGAAGAGATACAATCTAACGGAACTTACCGGAAGATATAGAATATATATAGCTGTGACAGATCTGTAACTTCATCACCTGCGTCTTACCATTCGCTGGCAACCCTGTTGATGTAGCTTAGATTTCTTCATCCATTTTAAAAATATGATTATCGTTGATTTTACAGAAGTAGAGTATAGGTTCCCTTACAGTGAAGAAGTAAGGGAGATAAAGATGATATTTGCATTCTTTTGAGAATTTTTGTCACCGTTGAAAACCGGAGAGACTCACTCAAGTGGTTGAAGGAGTTGCCTACCAAAATAGCTTGCAACCAATCGTTTCCCTGACGAAAGATGCGAGGAGGCCTAGGGGGAGTGAATGGCGTTACAGTTTCGAAATCCTTCAATAAATTCAACGCTTATAGGATGTTTCTCTTATAGATACGTCTTAAATTAAGGCCGGTAGTTGTAGGAATATTTATGAAATTTAATAGTTCGGTATTAGACTGGGTTTGATTGGAGTCAGATAAGATTAGATTATTATGTAATGTGGAACGATTTTCCGTCATCCCTTTTCAAATTTGGTTTGGAGACAAACCGGTTTCGGCGTTGTGCCATCTTCAGTGTCATTTTTCAGTGTCGAATCGTTCCACATTACATCACACTCCTACCCTGTCGGAAACACCAACAACAAAATTAAGAAATAGATTATTAATTCTATTTTTATTTCTATTACGATCCATTGTAACAAACCCATATTTGAATGGAGGTCTTCTTTGATCCACGTAGTGTTAAGGAACCTTGGCTGAATGCTATCTGGGTACGGTTATCCTAGGCAAATATGTACGTCACCTAATGTGCTCTAATATTTCCCTGTTCCTCATTACACAACCTACACTAGTCTGGCCCTGCAGTGACTAGTAAAAAAGTATGTGAGCGTTCTTACATCTTCTCTTGAAAAGTGAATGAGTGCTTTAGTTCTCCTTGTCGGAGAATTTAGCGTGTCTCTAGCTTAACGAATTTATCCTGTCTGTTACCTCTCATATTTGTCCAGTAGTATTACGCTTCCTATCTGTAACTTTATATACCATTATTCCAAACCTGATACCCAAATGAGGTAAACGAGGTTTTTGTATCCGGTAAATATTACCAGCTGAAAGCAAACCCACACCAGCTTTGTAGTAACCGCGAACGCTTTCAAGGCGAGGAGTCTTTCTACATACTGTGTAAGACATAGTTCAATGGCATTTGCCTCCACTGGAAAGACAAAGTTAGCTTGCCCCATACTGTATACCATAGACCCCTGATCAACCCTATTATCGGTCTTTATTAGTGTTACTTTTCACTCTACGAAAACCATGTTACAGCCTTGTTATTGGACGTTGAAACTCTACTTTGTACAATTATTGGAGCATCTCCTCCGGATTTCCACATTCCCCGATGATAAGAGTATCCACAAACAGATTGAAGTAGTATGTATTTATATTCTTGTTGAAACTTAAATGGTTAGCTCTATGCCTCAGCAAGCTTCCAACTTTCCGAAAATCTCACCGAACTTTACTTTTCGGCCTTCTGTAGACTGAAAGCTTGATCTCAGTATCCAAAGAATGCGTCTAAATTGCCAGCTCTCGTTTTGGGGCTGGCGAGGCAGTAGAAATTTCTGGGTTAAACAGGAACTTTTTACTTACCTTAGCGATGTAGTCACGGGACTCTTAATGTTCTGTCGCTTTTTCGGGTCCCCAAGTCGACAAGTCTTAAAGTTGAAATCACTTATGCGTAAAAGTTTGGCGTAGCTAATAACGCTCATTTGCAGAAACATCAGAACAACGGACAGACTGAAAACTTTGACTGCAGCGGTGACCACCCTGCGGAACTGGCCTCTATGGTTGTGAAAAGCGTGGCCTGGGTGCTCTCGATATTTTCCACAATGCCGTATTATTTACCTTTTTGGTGAGATTTGCCGTCACTCATGGGACAGAATTTCGAATCGTAAGTCAGTTCAGTTTCGTTTCCTTGAAGATCGTTCGATAGGCATGAGTCCCAAAGACCGTGTGAGGCATTAAAATTGTCTGCTGACATACGGTTTTCATCCCTGGTTATCAAAGTGATATTGGAGTCTTGCGGTCGGATGCATTGGGGCTTTGATGGGTTTCAGATGAGGCGGCTTCTAAGTCGAGCTCTACCCACCAAAAGTTATTTAGAACGGAAAGTGCTATTACGGTACGATACTTACTGGCGGTAACAGAGCACCGCAGTTGGGTAGATAGGCGGAAAAACAAGGCGGTTCTTGAGCTAATCCAATAAAGCAGAAAAAAGGAAAGAATACTTATTTAGTCGTTAGGTGGCACATTACGTAGCTACTCCTCTTCTTTTACTTACGTCTTGAGTGCATTCAGCGTCTCCTCGTTGTAGCCGAGAGCGATTTTTCTTTTGCCGCAAATAAAAAGTTTTGTTTACAATTCCCTTTGTTTTTTGTTTTGCTTTTTTCGTATGCCGCGAGCTATTGTATGCACTAGCAAAAGTGAAAAGTTGCAATTAAACCAGTCAATGGTTTTGTCCAACTCGTCACTTTTTCCACATAAACAACACACAAAAACAAAAAACAAAAAACAGAAACAATTTTGTAGCTGCCTAGTGTGTGTTTTATTTCTTTGTAGCTAATTTTTTGTCTGTATCTGCTATGCAACAGTCACTGCACTTGCAACATAAAAACAGCAGCGGCAACAACAACAACAACAACAAAGGCAACGCTGATATCTGTAGCGTTACAATGCGTTGTAGCTAATTGCCGGTTGGCAGGTTTCTTGGCTTGTCTGATGACTACAAAACCCTGCCAGCCGTTCCCGCCCAGCTGATTTGATCGCCCGCCCGTCTGATCTGCCTGTTTTGCCTGCCTGTTTGGCCTGCCTGCCTGACGTTGTCTCGCAGGTTTGCGCTTCCACGCCGCGTCAGTCTTAGCTAAAAAAAACAAAAACATGCCTGTGACAGACGGAAAGCTAAGCAAAGCTACACGCTTTCTTTTTTCTTTCTGCCATTCATTAATCAGTTTATTTTGTAATTTGTAAGTTTAATGTTGCTTTTAATTTTTCATTTTATTGTTCTTCATACATATTTATTTACATATACTTATTTATATACAAATATCTATGCATCTACGTTCATATATAACCATCGCTAAGCTACAAAAAATCTCACTAGCCTTCGATTCAATTGACAACTTCGTCCATCGTCCACCATTCATCGTTCACTAACTCACTTAGACTGACAAACTAGTCGACTGCTTGACTGCTTGACTGCTTTGACTAACTGACCGCTTTTTTTTGTCAGTCGATTTGCCAGTTGCTCGTTTGACTGGCTGCCGCAATAAGTCGTCGATTAATAGTTTATGTTAGGCGAGCAGCCAGCCGGTCGATGGCGAACTTGATCGGCCAGTGTCTGCTGGTGTTTGAGCCGTCTAGCCTAACTGCCCGTAAGCGTTTCACTTGACTTGACATGTTTTGATTGCCATCATTTCTTAGCGGCATATGCAATACATTAATTAAATAGTCAAGTCACTTTCTATTGGAGACCTTTGACCTGCACATTGTTGGAATGGAAAGAGAGCGAAGGGTACCTGAACCTATTTTACTACTCTTTTCACCAAATGTTTTACGTTGCAGACATTGGACGGTTTGAAGCTCGGAAGATGATCTAGAACGATAAAGATATGATTTTTTTTTTTTGCCGCGATGTGCCCATCGAAAGCAGTTCATGTGTCAACAACTTGAAGCTTGCGAAAGAATCCAAACTGAAATGGACAGGTTTCCGCTTTTCATACCATTGCAAAACAAAGAGATAACAAAGAAATAGGTATCACGTAACCCGATTCATTAAAGATGGATCAAGCAGCTGATGTTCTTTTTTACATGAAATTTACCAAAAAGTCTAAAGATTATGAAGAGTCCCGGAAAAACAAAAAAAAAATAAAAACGAATCCCAAAGACCCAGCAAATAAAACCAAATGTCGTATTCGTTTCCTTTAGTTCCAAGCGCTAAATAGGGCATCTGCGCGCCATCTGGTCTGTGCCTGGAAATCACTTTGAGCTCCTTCCAGCTTAACCGGAGGTGGCTCGCTTCTCGATCGACTTCTCAACGTTTCGCGCGGTCTGCCGTAAGGCAATTAGAAGACTCCATTCTAAGGCATTCTTTGTTATAATGCCACCTTCTTTGCGGAAATTCAAAAACTAATACACCAGAAATCCCAAAGAACTGGCGAAAGTCCCAAACAATACGAAAGGTTCGCGAAAAAAACCCGAAAACAGAGAAAATCCGAAAGATTTCGGAAAGCCACGAAAAAATCCGAAAGGTATACTTTGTAGAATCCCGAAAATTCCCTATAAAATTTTAAAATATTTTCAATAGTTTCAAACATCAAGAAGAAATTCATCATAATATCAACATCTAAAAATAAAAACGTAAGCTTCTGAAAACTAACTCCAATGGAAAAGTGGTTGATGACACTCCCTACTTTTGATGAAACCTGCCTGCATAGAAATCTGACCTAAAACAGATGGATAAAGGCGTCGGAGCCGCAGTCATCAGCTCGGCCTTAACAAAGCTTGCCAAAGAAGGCGCCCTGTCGGAAACTAAGGCAAATAGTGGAAAAGCCGATTTCCCTCCAAGTGATTAAACGGGGGCTGGACCTGTTCATGGTCCGAAAGGTGCACAAAGTGTGGAGGAAAGGATTCTGTGCAAGAAGTGCGACATAAATCTCACGAAGTATCTCCTATCCCTCAGGATGGGGGACGCTAAGTTACTGGTGGGTGTTCTAATGGGACGCTGTCTTCTGGCTTTGTACGCCTTTAAAATGGCTCTGACGATTTATAAGATATGTAGGAGATGCAGGATAAAAGAGGAGGCAGTGTCCTGACCTTAGAAGACTGCGGATTAGTCGCCAGGGACCAGGCTTTCTGCCAAATCTGGAATCCGCTGCCAAGATGGGGTACAACAAAGTGTTCCAGTCTGCCACGAAGACTGCAGTGTTCTTCAATATTTCTCCTGGTACCATGTGTTTAGCTGTCTAATTTAGTAGTAGTTTTATCTGGTAACGCTATGGACTTTAATGATCTCTGCAAAACCAAGCAGTGGCTAGCCAGCCTACCTAACCTACCTAACCTCAAGAATTTGTTTTAGTTTAATCGACTCTTCGAAGCATGCTCTGAGGGAATTTTTGGGCGACTATCCTCCGAAGTCGAATCTTTCCGAAGTCAAGAATTAATGTGAGACACTCGAACCAACGACCTTAAGGTAAAATATTTGCTGCGGCTAACTTAGTCTTGGAGCTCCAGAGTTTAATAATATTGAAAACGTGACAACACTTAAGCTTCAAGCGCAGCTAAAATTCTCAAAAAGCGTTGACATCCTAAATAATGTATACTTCGAATATGCTTAACTAAACCTCTATTTCCATCTGGTATTACCAGGGGCCTATTGGTCTAAACCTTGAAATTAGTTTGAAAGGTGCATTTACAGGTGGTCTTTAGATAGCTAAGCTGATATGCGAGCCATCTGCAAAGTTATGATTAATTTTAGGCTTGTGAAAGGCCACTGTGCGAGGCCCAAAGCAAATGCAGGATTAGGGATCTTATTTTGCCCAGTTTTTCGTCTCCGAGGCTTTTATTTTCAGTATGAATGGATTGAAAATGGGTCAGACAATAGGCACCAACCAACATTCCATTACCAACGCCGTTTTAATAAAACCTAACCAAAACTATCATACTAACTCATAGCCTCTTTTCCCTCCTTACAGAACTCAAAAATTTTTGCAACATGTGGAATAGTAATAATTGTCATAGTCGAAGATGGCTAGTCATGGACACAAGACAATCGGAATGGGAAATGGGTAGCAGCGAAGGCAGGCAGGCGCAGTCCACGAGGGCGCATAAACAGTCAACAGCGACATCGACGTCGGCGTTGCCGCAACAGCAACAACATATCAAACGCAAAAGCCGGCGATTATGCGACGCTAACGCGGATCGAGCACAGAGGGGGCTGCAGGAGCCACAGCTGTTACTGCGCTTCCCAACGCCCGCATGCGCGTCAAACACAAAAGCATTGAAGAGTAGATGGCGGCTGCGATGGCACCGACCGCGGCCACAATCGACAACGATTGCAACACAATACGCGCCGCTGTGGTCTATATCGATGTCACCTGCACCGACGCCGCTGCTAAAGCGGACACGAGTCAACGCTTGCCTTAACCAAATACTAGAAGTATTACTAGCCTTACTATTAGCCAATTGCCTTATGCAACTGTTGGGACAACTGCCCGCAGCTACAGCCGCTTTCGGTGCGGCGCCGCTGGCAGGCGACACACTTGCAGATGCGTATAACTTTTACACGAGTAGCAGGAGTAGTCAAAGCAGCGATGGTGGCGTTGCTTTCGATAACGACGCCGACGACGACGACGACGACGACTACGGCAATGCCGACGGTTGGCGTGGCCCTGTCTATAGCAATTATCGCCAAGCGCACAGTATAGGTGGTAGTGCGGCATACGCTTTCAATGCGTTGCAACTACCAACTGCTGCCACGCTAGCGGCGGCAGCCGCCTACAACTTGCCAAGTGCGGGCGAGGCGCTGTCGGTGGTCAATCAGCTGCAACGCAGTCAAAATTTCAAAATCAGTCAGAAGCCCTGCTCCATCGGCCGCATCGAGGGCACCTGCATGTTCGTGTGGGAGTGCATCAAGTCCGAGGGTCGTCACGTGGGCATGTGTGTGGACACGTTCATGTTCGGCTCGTGTTGCGCGCACAATTATACGGAGAATATTGTAATGCCGCAGACTTTCTCGTATACGCGACCCACCAAACCACTGGGTATTGGTGGTTTGAATCATCGGCCGCGACCGCCGCATCAGCCGCACAAGCCGAGTATAAGGTGAGTTGTTAGTTAGCGGAGAGGAGGTGGTGAAATTTTTCAGTTAAATTTAATTGATTTGTGAATATTTGTTTTCGAAATCATTCCACAGTGGCATGACTACAATCGAACGACCGCATGGCGCTGGTACGCTGGTCATACGCCCCTCTGGTCCGCATCATCAGGGTGCGCTGCATAGGCCTCAATATACGAAGCCCTCATCATTGGGTACTACAACATCGTTTTCAGCGTCGCCTGCGACAATGAGTACGACGAAGAAAAAATCGACCACCACTACTACAACGGAGAGCAGTAATGCGCTTTGGACTTCGAACGCGGTACTGGCGGATTTGCAGTCGGCTGCGGCAACGGCGACAGCGTCGAGTGAGTGTTTTTTGAAACTTTATGTTTTTGAAAGTTTTTCAATTATAAAAAAAAATTATTCTTGTTGGGAGATATTTTGTGGCCATGTGGTTTATTAGCGATATTGTTATCGAATTTTTTGTATGGATTGCAATCGAATTTACTATCGGTTTAAATATTTCATCATCATTGATTTTTAGTCGATATTTATCGATAACCATCAGTTTTATTATCAAAATATAGATCGATTTCGTTGTGGTATGCAATCGTATGTTCTTATTTATCGATTTTTTTCCAATATATTTATTGTAATTAGTTTATTTTATCGATATGTTAAATGATATTATGTTAATCATCATCCTCATTATCTAAATATGGATCTACTAAATTATTTAGGAAGGAAATCATCGCCATATTTATCGACAATGTTATCGTAAATTTATCGTTATATACTTTTTGTATTCATCGTTATCGGTAAATTCATTTACATATTTTAATCGATTTATCGATTTTTACAATTGATATACATATTTGTATAACTATCGATAAACTTGTCGCTATTGCGATTTATATCCAAATTTGTGACAGTTGTAGATATCTTTACCAATATCTTTTGCATCGTAACTTTAGGCATCGATATCGTTGTTATGTCACTCCATATCGTCAATTTAGGAAGTGTTTACAGTTAAATTTTCGCTATTAAAATGAGCGCCCTTCCCTAATACTACTTTCCATACTGTGCTCAGCTTCCCCCTGTATTCCTCATTTAAATTCATGATTTTATGCAGATCTCTGGAATGCATCACCTCAACTGACAGCTGTAACGCAGCACCACTGGCACATGACGACTGAGCCGAATTTTATTACCAAACCACGGCCGCCTAGCTGGGAGAAACCGACCGGACTGCGTCCCTCGAAGCCATCAAAGCCAACAAAGAAGCCCATCTTGCCGCAGCCGCAATTGCCCAGCTTCCAACTGACGCATCAGCAGCAGCAACAAACTTCACCGGGTATTGTATTCACGACGACGCGAAGACCAGTGCCTCCGACGACGTCAGTGCAGCCAGCGACAAAGAAGCCGTCTTCCTTGCCTGCATTGCCAGCGAATACAGCGTCGACAACACCAATCTCGGCGTTGTCGTTGACGCGTCCAAAACCACCGTTCGCCTCGGCAACGTCTGGCTCCAACTGGCAACAACAACAACAACAGGAACAACAACAGCAGCAGCAATACCAGCATCACCAACAGCAGGTATGTATCGCAACAACGCCACATACTACACAATGTCCAACAAATTGCGAACGGAACGCATAGGCTAAGCCGTGGACCACATGCCGAGGTCATTTACTTAAACACTCACTCACTCGCACAACGAACTGGCTGACATACTGACGAATTGCTGACTGCTTAGTTTCTTTGTCCGATATGTGCTCGTAGATATGTAAATAGTCGTACCTATGGATGGGTTTGCGAATACATACATAGGTACCATGTGGCATGGGCGGATTATCGCCCAACAACAACAACAATATGGCGACGTTTATGCTCATATAAAAATGTTTATGTAGCCTTGAGCGACATTTTATTGTTTGAAAATACCTGATGAAAGATTGCCCATCATTTGGGTGTGGTACAGCGCTGTGCAACTAAGGTTTATGCGTCCAGACTCGTTGGATGCATAGTTTGTAGCGACTGATCCACTAAACTGTATCAGTAATGCAAAGTGTGGCGTCTATTTTTTGTATATGTGGGTGTGTATGTGTGTCTGGCATGCGGCATATGACCACTACATCGTCTAAGCTGTTAGCGTACATTGTCTGCGACATTGTATTAGCACTAATAGCCTGTGACAGCGAAGGTAATGCTGGGATTAAACCTAGGCACCCACCAACTTGTAAGAATAGATGGGCAAACACTGGCATTTTCAATGAGTGTTGAATAGTTATATCGGGCGCACCGATTACTATTACCCAAGAGACCATACGGGTCGTTCCCGCTTCCGCGGATGCGCAAACGTGACTGCCAGAGTAGGAATTGAGTATAAATCTTTGAAAAACTGTAGCTGATAGATAATAAAATAAGTCAGACAACAAATCGTGCTAGGTCTACAACTTATTAAGTGAACTAAGACGCGCTACAGGGTGGCATTCTCTGCTCACTGATTTAGGTATTCGTGTTGAATAGAACTCAACAGCGCGGCCATCAAAGTTGTTGCGTATGCGTATGATGATGTACGAGCAGTTAGGCTCAATGTCTCAGTCAATCATCGGCTCGCTTGCCTTTGTTCTCTGATTGAGCATCTTCGAGGGAACTGAGGGAGCTGATGAATTGGCGGAGGAAAGAGCCTATTTGGGACAACCTGAAGCGGTGACATTGGGCTGACCTCTTCAAGTAATGGAAATAAAACCGAATTTTCTTGAACTGGGTAAAAACACGTTGTCCGGTATACAGACTTGGAAGATATCAGGATATATCTGGCCAGAATATATAGATCAGGGGATAATAGCAATTATCACGGAGCGCTTGCGCCTAGGCAAGCGTGCAGTGAATATGGACTTAAAGCCAGACAGATTCTTAGTTGAAAATTACGCCTTGGTATGCCCACTGCAATTTGCAAGCCGCTCTTTAAAATATTTGTCTAGGCTCTAGTAAATGAAAGATGAATACAAAGCACGACCTGTCGCAACGCGGCCTTAGTTGAATCGAAAAAACATCCAAAGTTTGTATGCTCTAAGAAGCGAAGATATATCCAACACTGTCGGAGCTTTAACGGCCTATTGGTTTATAGGTTCGGAGGTGCTATAGAGGCAATGCCAATGTAAGGAAAGAGATGGTTTTTCATCATCACTGTAACTGTCCTGAATTGTCAAGCACTGTTGGGGTAGCCGTTCCCTGACGACTTATGTAGAGTGCCTGGCGAGACTCACCTGAGACACTAAATAGTTTCTTGACAATTTTAGTACCACCCTGGTCTCGAAAACCTACCGAGTACACATTTTCGAACTGCTCAAGAGGATGCCGGAGGTAATTAAAGCTACACTTTCCTCCTTTCCCCTTTAAAAAATCCTGGAGAGTACCCTTCCAAGTCAACTAATATCTAGGCAGTTTGCTGTAGTATCACATGGCCTGGTAACCGTATGGGTCCAACTAGGTAATAAATAGCCACACACAACAAAAAGAGAGTCCATACAGTGGCTGGAAGCCTAAATTTGAGTTTTAAGTAAAGCTTCCATACCCTGAACTTAGAACTGTCTCTGGCTTCATCCATTATCTTACGAACTGGCAATGAATGAGGCTTTTCAAACCAAAAAGTATTCAAAAATTTATCAAGCAGTTTATAATGCACGCCCTAAGCTTACTAGACATAAGATCCATAAATCTCGACCTTTGCGTAATTCCCTGAGGGTGACCACTGTGCACGCGGCTTAAGTACACTTATGCTAAACTTACATCAACCTTGCGCTTGCAATCACTCACTGGTAAGCCACACGACGCGCAGCTACATGAAATGCAGTCGACTGCCACACATACTCGCATGTATTAAGCGCGCATGCGCATGCGCATGTGCTTGCGCTTCAGCTGTGCATCGAAATGAAAAATTGATTTCGGACATATGAAAAATCTCCACTGACATGAGCACCGGCTGGACATAAATAACTTTGTGAATAATTTCAATCTCATAATTTAAATTTTTGCAGCACCACAACCACCATCAACACCAACAACATCCATACCAGCATCAACAGCAATACCAACAGCCGCAATATAAGCCGCCGCCCGCTTATGCGAAGCCACCAACGAAAGTGCCTGCCACATCATTGGCGAGCACCGCCGGCACTAGCAGCGCCACATCAACTACAGCGAAAACAACAACAACAACAACAACACGTGGGCCTCTTAGTACCACAGTGAAAACAACAACGCGTCCTTACACGCGCCCAACCACGCCCAGCTGGGTCATTAGCGAAAGTGGTGTGCCCAGCAGCAGCAGCAGCAGCAGCGGCGGTAGTAGCGGTGATGGCGGCGGCGGCGGCACAATTTACCCACTGCAATCGACTACAAAGCAGCCAACAACAACAACAAGCATAATGACTACAACAACACAAAAGCATAGACCAACATCACCCACCTCAACATCAGCGCCGCCATCAAGTTCATCCGCAGCTATATTGCCTATCAGGCCAACATATAGCCCCACATGGTCCACAGCGACGACGTCGGCGCCTACGCGACCAACATCATCCACAACTACAAGCACCTCAACGTCATCGTCATCATCGTCTTCATCCTCTTCTGCTTCGCCATCCACTTCTGTCACTACAACGCACTATGTGCCTCCTACCTATGGCCATTATCCACATCCGCAGCCGTCCGATCAGCAGGAGCAGCAGCAGCAGCAGCAGCAGCACACATTGTCGCCCCACAATCTGACGACGATCGAATCGAATGAGATCTCCGATAGTTTGACAGATAACAGCACCGCTATTAAAATCATCACAGCAGCACGTAGCGGTAAGTTTTATAGGCTTCAGTAAGAGTTGCCTTGCCATTTATCACGCGCGTTGCTACATTTGCATCGGCGGTCGAGTGAGTGATGTTGGCTGGGCCGTCGGTCGTCGGCCAGACTATTTAAGCCATCATTTAACTACAGTCAATCATTCTCAAGTTGCTCGGCATAAACATAAACATTTTTTATTGACCATTTTCATAGCTAATCCTTTTCACATTCTCGATTTATTCTTCTCGTTTTTTTTTTGCTTTGCTTTTATATGCTTTTGCTGGCTGCCTTTTGGATAACTATTTGTATGTATGCAGAATGTGGCATTCCGGTTTTAGCACGTCCGGAGACCCGCATTGTGGGAGGCAAGAGTGCGGCCTTCGGTCGTTGGCCGTGGCAAGTGTCGGTGCGACGCACTACGTTCTTCGGTTTCTCTAGTACACATCGCTGTGGGGGCGCGCTGATCAACGAGAACTGGATCGCTACTGCGGGGCACTGTGTCGATGAGTAAGTAATTAAATAACTGTTAACTGTCATTATGTTATATGCATGGGATGAGATAACAAGCATTTTATTTCTGCTTGCCGCAATACGACTTTGAACTCTGGGCATTATTGATGCATTTTAAGACCTAAGACTGCGGGAGCACTATAAGTACATATGTAGTAAAATTGCATTGATTTTCTGAGAATTGCAAAAGGCGGCAACATTTTGAGCATAATTTATTGGTTTGGTGGCTTTGTCGATTTTGAAATCGCTTTCGATAGCACTAAAGGAGTGGTCTCTTGCGTAGGGAGCCTTCTGACTGCGATTGAATCGCGGAAGTGGTCTATGAAACTTTTAAAGCTAGACAAGTCACATTTCTTGGCACTGATGGGAGGCTTAACTGACCATTTGCCGATTAGAATACTTGCGATAAGACTCAACATCACCTCAAGCATCCGCCCTTTGGCTACAGCTTACGCAATCTTAGGACTTGAAACAGTTTGATTCTTTCATCTTTCGTTGGGACTTCTTCACATAACAGTAGCTGAGTTGCTCGAGCAGACAACCTCCGCAGAGCCGAAGGGAAAATGAGCAGGGACGAAATATTCTCTGTTAGCCACCTTAGCCTAGCAAAACCATTCTACCTTTGAGTTGGGTTTGATCTGGAGAGCTTCATGCGATAGAATAGGAATACTCTGAAGAAAGAGGAATAAATTTGGACTAGAATTTAATTGAGATCAGATGAGAATGCAGTAAACGAAGACTAATCGAGGGCCGCCATTACCGATGATTCCAACAGAGGGAGGCTAGCGAACCCCCATATCAATCGTATTTAATTCTCATAGATCATGATGATATGGATTTAAGGCGCGGCGCTATTTTACGAAACCACGATTCCAGAAAAATGTTATACTTTTTTAGGAGAGCTATTTTTGGGTGGCATTTGGGTGGTGTGTAAAAAATGAAGTCATTGAAGCCTTCGCCAGTTCCTCCATTAAACTTAATTGGCATTAACAACACGAATTTTCCAAGTGTTTTTTTTTATATTTTTCCTTTCTGTTTTTTCTTTCCAGTCTCCTCATATCCCAAATGCGCATACGCGTCGGCGAATATGACTTCTCCCATGTGCAAGAGCAGCTGCCCTATATCGAACGAGGTGTGGCCAAGAAAGTCGTACATCCCAAATATAATTTCTTCACTTACGAATATGATTTGGCGCTGGTGAAATTGGAACAGTCAGTCGAGTTTGCGCCACATGTCAGCCCAATATGTCTGCCACAAACGGATAGTTTGTTGATTGGCATGAATGCCACTGTGACGGGTTGGGGGCGCCTGAGTGAGGGCGGCACGCTGGCATCCGTGCTACAAGAGGTAAACGATTTGAATGCTCATAAATATCATTGCGAAAATATATATATTTCATAATTTATTTGATTTATTTTATGTGCTCGTAAATACCGCTGTGTGCAGGTATCGGTACCGATTGTTAGTAACGGCATTTGCGAGTCAATGTTTGCGCGCGCCGGCCGGCAAGAGTCGATACCGGATATCTTCGTGTGTGCGGGCTATGAGAATGGCGGACATGACTCGTGTCAAGGTGATTCGGGCGGACCACTGCAGGTGGGTTTGAGTGTGTGAAGTATTTATATTTTAATACTTTTTTTTTAACTTTTCTTATTTACCGCCACAAAACAGGTAAAAGCTGCCAATGGCCGCTTCTTTCTGGCCGGCATCATCTCCTGGGGCATTGGCTGTGCGGAGGCGAATTTGCCAGGTGTTTGCACGCGCATCTCACGCTTTGTGCCCTGGATCATGGAGAATGTGTCGTGATGGACATGGCGCATGAGAAGGATGTTGCCAACAAGCAAACGTTTGCGTCAAATTGACTGTAAATATTTAGGAATTTTAATTTTGCTTGCAATTTGAGCTTGTAAGCGAAGCACAGTGGCCTAGTTTGAGTGTGTTTCAAGCTTTCCGCGGTTTTCTACTAGAAATTTGTTCGGTTTTTTCTACCTTTTAATTTATTTGTATTAGTTAAAAAAGCGACAATATTAATTAAAAATATTTTGTTAAATACTAACTAATTTATATAAATTATGTGATTTATATTTATGAAAGTAGTTAGCCACAATTAAAAAAATTAAATAGTTTTAAGTAAATGTAGGTAAGAGCAAATGAATTTAATAACAGTTAATCAAAACAAAAAAACACAAGATCACGTTAAACGGTGAAAAGTCTAAGATCTAATAGCGCACATTTATTTTTAACAGAATTTTTAATAATTGTAATTAATGTATATTTCTAAATCACAATTTAACACTTTTCTTGTGTGATTTTTTTTTATTATCTACTTATTCCTTTTTATTGTTATTTTTTTAATTTTTAATTTTTGACTTCATGCAAATGTTTTTTTTTTTGAATTTTGAATCTAATATCTGGAATTCGCTTTTCATATTTATTTTTTACTTGACTAATTTGTAGCTATTTAATTTATTTAATTTTGTATATAATAAAAGTCATTTCATCAACACTGTTGTTATAAAGCGATGGCACACATTTTTGCAGCTGATATGTTATATGTAGTTTATAAGTACATAGTATGTATGTAATAGTGGAAAAAATCTGTTTAAAATTAGCAATGAATTCTATAAATTTTTCTTTAAATAAATGAAAGTGTGCAGGCAATAATTTAGTAACTAAATAAAATTAATTAATTAATGACTAATCTTGCCCAAAGAAGCAAATAAAAATTAATAGAAAAATTGCGAGTTGTTTCAAATAATTAAAAACACACAAAAAAAACGAAAATAATTTGAATGTCATGCGGTCGAGTTTCATATACATACATATGTATTTCCAGGTAAGTGGTATTGTAATCATAAATCTTCTTTCCACCCCACCCCCACGGCTTGCTTAAAAAGATGGGGACTGAAATTTTAATTTTAGAGGCGCGGGTGGTAGAGTAGGAAGGTAATATCTAAAACTCTGTAAGCAGTAGGTAAGTAAGGAGTACTCTTCTTCTCCATCAGGGCTTCGAAGCGGAGCGGAGCAAAGGAGCAAGGAGCTAAGGAACAAAGGATTTTAGATGGAGCTGAGCTGGAACAAAAACCTAAAAAATTTCATTTGCTCCTTAGCTCCTTAAAGAAAAATTTTCAATATTTTGTTGTTATTTTCTGGCCCAGTAACGATTTATTTTGAAATATATTTATTATTGTTTTTTCCAGAAAAATTTTCAAAAATAACGTCCTCAAGCTAAATAAAAATTAAAAAAAAAATCAATAATAAATTTACTTAAATTATAATTTTTTTTCGCTGAAAACAACCGTGTTAAATAAATTTCCCTATTTAATGAACTTGGCATTTTATTTAATTTTCTTTTGCATGCAGAAGTGTTCCTAAAGCATCTAGATGCATTAAAAATAAAATTTTCAAAAAAAATTCGCCTAAATTTTTTTTGGCGGTTAGGAATCGATATGTAAATAAATAAATAAATAAACGTTTTTATTGCGAGCTAAAGTGGAGCAAGAGCGGAGCTCGGAGCGAAATAAAATACCGAAATGGAACTAGAGCGGAGCGAAGAAAACAGAATCTTCGCTCCGAAGCCCTCCATTTACTCCTCGTCTTTTAAAGTTCAATGAGCAAATTGCAGTCAATTTTGCAATTTATATGAATGAGGAGCACCAAAAAATTTAAAAAAGTGATAAAACTTTCAAATAGCTGATCTCAATGCCGCTAGCATATCCAGCATCATTATAAAAAAAAAAATGAAATTGCAAAAGCAAAAACAATGAAAATGCCGTGAATTACAAAATAGGTCACATTCAATGTACATAAGTAGTACCTGCTACTCATGGATAGATGAAATGGAGATAATTGATAGAGTGAGATATATAAAAAAAATAAAGTAGTTTACAAAGAAGAGGCATCTTATTTTTATTTCGTTGAACAAGTGTGCGCTATTTATAAAACTACAAAAAGGCAGAGTCAATTGAACTAATATTGAAAAAATAAAAAAAAAAATGACGAAATACCAAATTTACGGTAAAGTGAGGGCTCTACCAGCAGTGACAGCAGTTTGCCAGCGGGACATTAACAGTGGCCAACGACGACGAATGATTGGCATTTTCAGTTATTAATGATGTGCGGGTTGAGTATACGATTTGAATGGTAGATTTCTAACTGAAAAAGGCAAACAAAAAAAATTTGTACAAGTAGTTGAAAAAATTCAATAAAAAGTGAGCTAAAGAATCACTATTCATATTTTACTACGAGTACCGCTAGCTAACAATTCTTTTTGTACGAACTTTTTATTTTATTCAGGTAGTTCGTTTTTTTACCAATGCTTCGTACTGCAGAAAGAAAAAAAGCAAAAAATTTCATAAAAGTATGTATCGTTTTTCACAAGCTTTTTATTCGGCTATTCCATTCTAATGTAAATTTCACTTTTTTGAACCCATGGAATACAATGCACAAAAACAACACAGAGAAAAAATTTTTATGTATGTATGTATGTAGTGACATACTTATCTTCATTTTGGATGCTTTGGATACATAAATCATTTTGCGCTTTGTCTAAGCGCCCCTTCTTCTCTTGCTGTTTAATCGTTTGTGAATTTGATTGTTACATTTATGTAAACAAAAATATTAATAAAATTGTTTTTGGCGAGCTAACACGCAAAACTTATGGAAATACATTTTATGTTAATATGCAGTAATTGACACTAATTTTTATTGAACACGCCCATACAAATTAGGCGCTTTATATTATGAGAACAATAGTCATACCGATTAATTTTACAATGAAAAGTGAATATACATATAAAATGTTTGATTTTTGGGCATCCATAAAGGCAGTGTCACACGATTGGCCATTTGCCCAAAATTGGATGAAAATCGTTACTGAATCGTGTAAATGTAGATGCACAAATATTTTTCTTTATCCTAATCCCGAAAAAAACAATTTGTTCAAATTTTTCAATAGAAGAATTATACCAATCGTGACTATAAGAAAAATATAAAAAAATTTACAAATCTGTATGAATGTAGCAATCGTGTGACACTGCCTTAAGAAGTAAAGATAAGATTTAAATGAGTCATTCAACCAATCCAAATCTAAGCGTTTTGAAAAATTCGAAATGCTACGAATAAGCTGTCAATAAACAGTTCAAAAACATGTTCCGCCTTCCATGCTCCAGAGTGCTTGTAATATACAGTTATGGACACAATTTCCTACTAATAAAAAACATTTAAAAAAGGAAAAAAATGCAATAAATACATTTTTTCTTGAAAAAAGGCCGTGTACTAATAAACAAAACGACGATATTACTAATGCACCACATTAAGGCAGCAGCAAATATCCTTTCAACCCATTTTACAGAAAAATATATTTATTGCATTTTGTTCATCACTTTACCCATAAATTTACATTTATTATAAGCAGAGAATGCATCCTGAAAGTTCAATACTTGCATCGTTTACGCACCATTCCCATAAAATGGTTGTTTTGCGATCCTTAGCAAAAGTAAAATGTTTGAATAAAAAGGCTCTACCATATCTCATTTGCCTTTCGCATTGTGTTTATTTTTGCCTTTGAGTAATTCGAACACGAATAGTTCCAACTGCCAGAGTAAGTCAAATACTTTTTGTATACATTTTTCATAATTAACTAGTTTCTCATTAGATCCAGACAAAAATCCAAAAAAATATCGTTATTGTTGTTTCAAAATAATTTTGCAAAGCTGCTCAAACTTTAAAGTTATAAAGTAGCATTTCTCAATGCTATGTTCTCGCTAAAATTATAATGCTATGTATTTATGTATATGCATACAGCTTGATTTATAATACATTGGAGTATTTACGTTGGCTGGGAGAATAGAAAAGTTGCATATTTCCGATGCTGTTGTAGCTTATAGCAACTCAGCACGCCTCCTAGCCCAATCTTTTAACTTCGTTAGTACCTCTGCTGATAGCTACTACAAATACAGCACTAAAATTCCATGCGATGTCATCTCTCAAATTTCTTATTTTCTTTAAATTTTCTGCTTATGCTTTTAATATTGGTCGAATTTACTTTTTCTTGCCAAAAATCGATTCTTTAGCTTCGTCGTACAGATCTAAAGCAAACAATTTCAAATCATCCAAGCTAGTCGGAAATTTACTTAGGGGATCCGTATCAACTTCTTCGCCCGGTTTTACTCCCTTCACGAAGTTATACGCAATGACAAATCCTTTGCGCGCCTGAAACAGGGCATCCCGTGCAAACACTTCAGCTTGTCGTGGGTAACAGAGTGAAGCCACGGTTCCGGCACCAATAGTTGTGTAAAGTACTTTTTTGACGAAACCACCACGTGCTGCAAAAATGAAACCAGACAAACCACCAACGGCAATTGCTCCGCTACGTGGCAACACATTCTGTGGTTCGTTTAGATAATCGATGGTGGACTGTGTGTGGGCTTTGGCTGTTTCTATGTAGCCGTCGAACTGAGCCTTTTGATCGGCAACGGCTTTCAGGCCTGCCTGCACCTGAACGCGCACAACACGCACACCATCTTCGATAGTTTCGTGCAGTGCGGAATCTTTTTTCGGATGTGGTTCGGACTTTACGCTGTTAAATGAACAGGGTTTAAAGTGGTAAATTGTATATGTATGTACGTCTAAATGATGCGTGTACATACCTGTGCAATTCGTGTAATGGTTGATAGAGTGGCAAATCACTGGGCCTACAGGTGAAGTTAGCTTTAACATCCTCGTTTTCAACTGCCTTCGGCTCTACCTTTTTTATGGGTACGGCGGCCAGCAACGCAGCAGTAGCTGGTGCTGTTAGAAGAACTCTTCGGAACATATTGCGACTGATTGCCCTGCAAAGTTATGGACGCGCTGATTGGCGTTAAATGCTTATCCTGCTAATGCACTAGGTCAATTTCGTGACTCTCGCTTAGTCGTCTATGTTTTCACAACAGCCTAAAATGATAAAATAAATTTTCTTCAAAATAAATGAAGTTTTAACAAAAACTAATTGCTTTAATAACTACCTGGTTGCTTGACATTGCATAAGACCCGTTTCACAAAAAGTGACAATTGGAATGACAGTTGCAAACAGCTGTTCGAATTCGCTGTGCGAGAAAAGGTGGTCAAAACAAAGTAAAGAAAAACAGGACAGTGGAGTCGAGTAGGACAAATTGTATAACTTTAATTGGATTGTATATTTTCCTAAAAATTTTTAAAATCTATGTTTAAATGAGTAAACTTGTGTTAAAAATTATGTTCCTCATTGTAAAACAATTAGTTTTAAAGGAGTCACACTTTTATATTGGTTTAATTAAATGGAGTTTATCAATTTTTTGAAATTAGAAGTAATTTACATGTTGAAATAATTCAAATACCTACCTAAGTTAAAATAAAATGTAAATTACTTTTTATTTCAAACAATTAATAAAAACCAATATAAAAGCGTGACTCCTCTAAAACTAATTGTTTTACAATGAAGAACATATTTTGAAGATAGTTAAATTTTTTTCATTTTCTATACATGTAAACTACTCTATAGCGAATTCGTCTCTATAACACTTAACTAATATAAACGCACGCCATTGATTTACGAACGCTGTCAAATTTATTTTTTTGTGTCTACCGAAATAGGTTTCCATTTCGTGAGATCCTCAGAATTGCATAAAACGTTGGTAAGGGAAATATGGATTTTTTTTAAATGATATGCAGGAACTTGTTGTTTCTATGCAAATGTATAGAAGACGGCGCGAAAGTAGGGGCAGAGGCAATTCATTTTTAAACTCTGTATACAAATTGCTCGTATATTTGCAGAAGAAACCGGATTGCCCGATACGTGTGTCCGAACGAGAAACATCAAAACAAAATTTGAAAAATTGCTTCGGCAAAAGTTTATTTATAGACACCATTTTATAACCAAATCACTTCTACTTTCTCCTAGTGAAATCCCTTTAATTCTTTTTACTAATTTCCTTTAATCACAGAGAACTCTATTTCCCACTTCGCTCTGTCTCTAATTCGCCGCGGTGTCAACTGTCATTTTTCTGCATGGAAAATGATTCAAAACAAAACAATCAAAAAACAATAGGTGCGTCCGACAAGTCAAAAATTTGTAATAGTTTTTTTCCAAATTTTTACTGGATGGCGTTCGATAACGACAAAAAATTATCGAACACACAAAAATTGAGAGAGCAAGCGTTCATTTTGTACTGGCAAAATTTTAGTCAGCAAAAATTATCCGAAAACATATGATCACAAAACATATGGTTGCAATTTTTGTAAACTAAGAAAACTGCATTTTCCGAGTTTTGGTATTTATATGCTTTTTGGCTGCCTGCTATGTGACTTTATGATAGCGCCAACTGGTTTTTACTTCTAGAAATGTTCCTGGCGAACATTGAACGTTCACTTTCCTTTTTTCTCTATGGAGGCAACATGAATTTCAGCTTTTTACAAATAAAACAAAGTCAGCTGGTGTGTCTTCTTCTTCCGGTTTTTGCAAGTAATGGCTTTGGGAGAGAATTTTCGCTTACTCTCTTGATTTTGATTGTTGGCTGGTGTTGGCTAATTTTGTTATCGAACGCAACTAATTTTGTTTTGTGCTCAATGCGAAAAGGTGGTTGGAGAAGCGCGCGACTGGTGAAAAAACCAGATAGTAAAAAGTAACTGCGCGTTTTACAAAATAAAATAATTTGGCAAAAGTAAAAATTTAGAACTTAAAAAGAGTAAAACGTATAATAGTTGATAAAGTGCGTAAGAATGAATTAAGGACAATCAAGAACAAGTTTTGCTTAGTGCTAGTGCTGGGAATTTTGTGAGAAGTCTTATAAAATCTATGCTAATGGTTAAAATTTTACAGCCATCTGCAAGCAACATAAAAGAAAATAAAATCGCTATACCTATTGCCAATAACAAGAAAAAATTTAGTACATATGTATGTATGTAGGTATTATTAATGCAAAAACGCCTCCACTTCAGCGGGCCTAGTGTTTAGGATACAGAGGCGTTGACGTAGGCGCCTGCGTTAGCACCAATAGTGTTAAAAATAGTCGAGTGATAAGAGGCTTTGCTTTGCAAGTGGCTTGCAATTGAAAATCGTTAATCGCCTTATCAGGTTATTTTTGCTTGTTGCTGGGAAACGGAATAAAAACGCCCCAATTGAGGGCAGTGGGGCGCTTCGAAAGAAAAGGCACCTGTGCTCGCATACTTAAGCCAGCAAAATTCGCCAGTAATAAGTAAAATTGTTCACAAATATATGTGGTATGTGCATATGTTAAACTTTGTAAGCAAATTTACTCAAGGAGGTCGTAGCCGAAAGTAGATTGCATCGACAGGTAGACCAATAAATTAAGGCCTAAATGTGGCACTGGTATAATGGATGTTCTCGGTAAGAGTATATCATTTGGAACTTTTATTTTAATAAAAGCATAAAAGTAGTTGATAGATGCGGGTTTTAAAGTTAGTTTTGCTCGGAGCATTGAGCAGAGTTAAGCTGAGTGGTTAAATTTCTACTTGTATGTAATCAATTTGCCAGCTATTATTTTTCGTTGAACGGCTTATCTTGTACAAACGGCCAGCACTATTAAAATAATTACTTTGCTTTTTCAGTTATGCATGCTAATAGGCAGTATATCAACCTTACATGAAGTTAAATTAATGCAAAGAGTGAATAATCGTTCTAAGCGGATGCCGGTAACAAGTGCGTACGGGAACGTGAACCAAAGTTGAAAAGTCGTTTTTGCTAATAACCGCTGCTATCAACCAGTTGAATTTTACGTGTTTGTAGTACGGTTGACAAAGACACATTTCTATGGATGTAGCAGCAGGTAGCAACTCAAGATTCAGGTTTGTAATGTCCGTTTTTATATACATATGTATGTACATAAGTATGCATTCAAATTAAAATTAATTTCTTCTTATCTATAGATATACATAAAAGGTATTTACATAAATACATATGCATTCGTTTTTGTACGTATGAAAACATACATAGTACTTGGAGGTTATCGATGTGCCAAATTTGCTACTTAAATTAAGAAAGACCCTATTTCACATCGTCGCTGAAATATAAAAAAAAACCGTAATTAACTTTTGATTGTACAAAACGCTGTAGAACTTACCTACATATACCTAATTCGATGAAATGCATCATAATCAATTTAAAAGCGAATTTTGGATTTCTAGTTAGCTACGCCTTTTTCTAGTTCTAATAGGGCCTTTCTATATTACATACATACATACATATATAGTTATGTGCGTTTAAATGTTCCACTCTGCCACACCTTTGTGCCACGCTTATGCACATATACCTACATATGTATGCGTTTAAATGTTGCGTTACGTCATTTAAAGTACAAAGTCTTATAACACATTTATGAATGTTTTACTTAATTTTTGATTCACTGTATTCTCCCAGCTCACGTGCCTTCCGGTAACAAATATCGGCAATGCACGCTTGAAAGTATTCAGGTGGCTGAGATACTGTAGTGCATACAAAACTATTTATACATTACAAACAAGTGTACATACATATCGCCCATTTACTTCAATAATGTCATAACTCAAATAAGCAAAACTCGAAATAAACGCCTTTAAAGTTTTGAATTTACATAAACTCCAACGGTAAAAACATATGTATTTTGTTCTAGTCAGTTACTACTATGAAATTTGTACACGACATAGAAGAGGAAGAGGTAATTTCTGCCTACTTAACTTAATTATTAGTGGTATTCATCTAAACCGATAACTTTATCAAGCAGATAATCTTATAAGTTTACGCACTCTGTTACATGAACGACCCACACTCTCTTTTCGTTTACACATGCGACCATAGTCGCGTTTTCTTTGGTCATAGAGCTCAGTATCACTAACTTTATACTACTAGCACGGGGATAAAGAAATTATAGAAACTACCTCACTAACTTTGCGGCCAAATTATCAGTGAAGCAAAACAAACAGACGGGATAATAATTGAACCAGATCTCTATCAGGATCATATCGTTGTTGAATTTGCGTGCAAAATTTGTATGAGGATCCCGATTATTGCCCAAGAAAACATAGCTAGAGTTGCGACAGAGTTGCATTGGCTTCAGTTTATCAAGTTTATTCAGTGAAATCGCTGGATAAATTTATCAGAAATGTGTAAACGTGTTTTCATACAAATTTTGACAGTTCATTTATAAGGTTTACACAATTATATGTTTATACGGTTTACAATGCATTTATAAGGTTTGATGAATACCCTTATTGTGTATTTTTGGGTTACGTCTGTAAGAAATATTTGGGGTATTCACAACAGTGTCGTAAGTGTCGTATTGTTGTATGTCGTGAGCTTTAAACGCCTATAAATATGTTAAGAGGTTCGCAAAGTACCATCAAAGTCATATTATGAATGCTTGCAGTGTTCAAAAATAGTTGGTTGTCGTTTCAAGTTCTCTAAACATTTATTTAAGCTTTTAAAGCTTACGACATACAACAATACGACACTTACGACACCGCTGTGAATCCCTCAATTGACTCAGTTTTTCTTCGTCGTAAAATACATATCGTCGTCTGAAATGCAAAAAAACGTAACAAACATCATCGTTTAATTGCAAAAAGTCATAACTTATAAAAAATTCAAAATTCACATTTTGATTTATATGATGGATTTCATCGAGTTACAACTCCCCACATCATGTTATGAAAAAAATTAAAATATTAGTGACGACTTTTTCCATTTCATTTACGATGTTGTTACGCCTTTTTGCATTTTAGGTGACATACATGTGTAAAGGGTGATCCCAAACTGCGTAAAACTGCTTGGACCAAGCCAAAACAAATGTTAGGGAACATTTTTCTCACAGGGCGTATTTACAGAGTTACGGCCAGTGGAAGATAAATCGATTAAATTTAAAGTAAATTTCGAAACCATCCATTATGATTTTTGTGCCACAGACAAGTTTTGCAAATTTGCAGACAATCTTTAATAATTTCATTGCAACGAGTTATTTTGAATTTGAATATCACCTATTTGCAATAACACACGCGTTTTATGATGTCGTGCGAGAGTGGAAACCACAGCAACCTCTCAAAATCATCAACAGTCGGTGTACTGCTTACCAGAATAGAGTCTTTTGTTTTGTTTATCATCAGTTGCCTCGATACAGTGCCTGGACCACCTCTCTTTACATCGAAAAATGGAATCTTGTAATATTGTAAATTAAGGTCCTTTCGAGCAGCTAATTTAAATAATAAAGATTTGACTCTGGAACAAAATGGGTTTTTTAACTTATTGATACAAAACTTGACAGTTCATTGCACTAAAATCGTGATGGATGATTGCAAAATTTATTTTAAATTTATGGGGATTTGAATACCTCCCAAGCTCATCATATTTAAGGTTTGTACGTAAAGATTTTTGCTCAAAATGAGCTACAAATCGATGATTTCGATGCTGTAATCAATTTATCTTCAACTGGCCGTAACTTAGTAAATAAGCCCGGGGGAGAAAAATGTCCCCTCAATTTTTGTTTTGTTTTTGCCCCAGGAAAACGTATGCCAAATATTTGTACGCGGTTTTGGATCACCCTATATACAGTATAACTTATATAGTTTTATAGGGTTTAATTCTAGATAGAAAAATGCTGTATTTTCCAAAAAAGAGTTTTATATTTTAGCCAAAGTTTTTATTAAAATGGTATCTTAACAAATAAAATATTGATTGTTTAACAAATAAAATATTGTATTGGAATCTAACGACTCGTAGCTTTAATGAAAAAAAAAAATTGCCAAACTTGAGATAAGAACTTTTGTCAAATGTTCACAAATTTGTGTGAGTTATTGTTACACCACTTTTGGAGGTATTTGACTTTGCGGTATATAAATAGCAGTGCTATAGGCATTATTCGCATCAAGCGGTTTGATATTTTAAAATAAAATATAATTTAATCATTGTATGTAAATATTAGTTTAAAAGCGGAAGCGGGAGCAGAACTTACATATGTACATACTATGTACCTCGCTACCTTGCTGTCGGCAAATATCAATTTTTATCACGCACTGATCCGCCTACAATATTAAAAGTTTTATTAGTTTCATTATTTACTATATTTGTACGTACTTATGTATGAGCGTCATAAATCACCGCCTGCGTGCTAATTTCTCGTCGTTTGGCTTTTTTTTTGCTTTCGCTCTCCCTCTCCCGCAACAAAGTAAAAACTTACCCATTTATTTATCAAACAAACTCTGGCTACCACCCAGCTGATAATAAACTTATTTTATAGGTCACGTTGTTAATATGTACCTAGTCTTGATTTATTCGCAGAATTGCATACTGATTACAGCTTAATTAGAACAACAATCGTCTGAGCTAGAATTTCCAGTCAGTCGTCTATAAATACCACATTGTAGAAGGCGTAACACATGACCACAGAGAGTGATAATGAAATTTTTATCATTTTATTTACTACAATGAATTGTCTAAACAATGTTTTACAAATAGCATATCAAATTTAACTATACCAAGTAGAATTTGCTTGGTGCAAAGATTAGCTTTTCCCCAAGTCAATGCATTGACTACAAATTAACTGAAAGGCCTCAAAAACCTGTGATACATTTAATTTACGTATACTCCCCTTTGGTAAAACGTTTGAAATCGTTGATAAGAAAATTATGAAAAAAGCGTGATTAATGTTTGCAGCATAACGCAACGAAATTACAGAGGCAAACACGCTTGTTATCTTATCCATGAAAATATTTATTTATTTACTCCGTTTTTACTTTTACTTTGCAGCGATGTTGACGAATATGGCTTTAAACGCTCGGATAAATTTGATTATAAAAATTATGAACAATTCATGTCCGGTTACCTGAAGACGCTCACAAAGCGCCGCATGAAATGGGAAGCCATCTTGCAGCGTAATGCCGATCTCACCATAATCGACAGTAAATTGAAGCGGTACATACGAAAGGGTATACCAGGTAATAATGAATTATGAATTCTTTTTTGAACTTATTTATAGTGTTTATGGCATTTAGTCAATTTATTAAATAATTTGTTGTACTTTCATATTTGTACTATACACATCGAGGATTTGATGAAAAGTTTTCGATTGTTATTCAATTCAGCGTGGCATACCTTGCTCTCATCATTGCCAGACAAACAAAACTTTATTTCTAGTAGTGGTCTTTAAAACGGAGCAGAGAATGTCTCCAAAATGTGATAGAAAACGATCAAATTTGGTCAGGTGCATAAAGTGATAGCAAACATCAACGTTAGAATATCCACAAAATCAATGGCGAATAGCAACCAAAAGTCGAATCGTTCAATTGCCCTATATCAGTACATCTAGAATTATCCAAATCGTCTATAATCTTCACTGAGTTGGCCAAATAAACTGAATATGAAAAAGTTGTTTGCCCTGCTAATAGCTTGAATAATAACCAACAGTTGGCAACTGAAATTTTACACGCTCCAGTGAACACCTTTCATTTAAATGAGATTACCAGCTGGGAAAGTGTTTATATGTACATGTGAAGGCAGCTGGCAAAATTAATATTTCACTAATTTTGCAATAAAAATTTATACATATCACTCGTGATTATGATTGACATTTGATTTGAATACATGTTTTTGCATAAAAAAAATAAATATTTGGCGCTCACATTCTTGTTAAATGTTTAGCAAAGCTTCTTCGTCAATTTGAGGCAAGGAAATGCATTTATGTAAATTATGTTTCTGATAAGCATCAGGGGAGATATGGAATATTTAATTACCTAAGAATTAATAATAAATAATAGCTTTTATTTCCATTCCCTTTAATTAGCTTTGCATTAAAATGCGTTCTTCTTCCCCCTTTTTTCAGGACCCTTTCGTCCTGATATATGGATGAAAATTTCTGGCGCCGCCAAATTGCAACAACGTTCACCCACTTTATATCGTAATTTGTTAAGCGCACATTACGAAAAAGAAATCTGCGATTCCATATCAATTGATCTACCTCGTACATTTCCCGACAATATTCACTTTGATATGAAAAAGGAGCGTCTCTTCAACATTTTGGTCGCGTATGCGCATCATAATCGAGAAGTTGGCTACTGCCAAGGATTGAATTATATAGCGGGTGAGTGGTACAATATGTACTCTACAAATGCTTGTTGCAAAAATCCTATGTGTCTTAAATATTGATTAACTTTATCTTCTATCTTTTTTATAGGACTATTATTGATCGTCACAGACGATGAAGAGAAATCGTTCTGGCTACTCAAACATATTGTCGAGAATATTGTACCACAGTATCATACAAAAAATATGGCAAATCTATTACGTGATTTGGCAGTATTCAAGGAAATGATTATAAGACGAGCGCCGCAAGTTAATCGGCACATAGAAAATTTAGGTAAGAATGGAATGTTTTTCAATATTTCTACAGTGTTAAAAAATAGTTT